AGATTTGCTCATTTTCTCACTTAAAATTAGGACTTGTGTGACGCACAGCCATTTAATTTACTGCATATCTTTGCTTTGGGAATTTGGGAACAATGCAATAGAACAACAGAGTTGGTAGGGATGTTGGAGGTCTTCTAGTCCACCCCCCTGCTCATACAGGAAGCTCTATAACATTTCAGATAAATGGCTGTCCAGTTTCTTCATCAACACCTCCAGTGTTGGAGCACTCACAATTTCTGGAGGGCAATCATTCCACTGATTAATTGTTCTCAATGTCTGGAAATTTCCCTTTACTTGTAGGTTGGTTCTCTCCTTGAAGAGTTTGCATCCGTTGCTTCTTGGAACTCTGCTATCATGTCTCCTCTAGTCCTTCTTTTCATGAAACTAGAGATACCCAATTCCAGCCACAGTTCTTTATATGTTTTACCCTCCAATCCACTAATAACTTTTATTGCTCTTCTATGCACATTTTCCAGAGTCTCAAGATCTTTTTTACAGCTGGCAACCAAAACGAGGCAATATTCCAAGTGTGGTCTTACCAAGGCCTTATAAAGTGGTACTAACACTTCATGTCATCTTGATTCTATCCCACTTAATGCAGCCTATGATTCTGTTGGGGTTTTGGGGGGGGGGCAACTGTAGCATAGTGCTGACTCATGTTTAAGTGGTTGTCTACTAGGACTCCAACATCCCTGTCATACTTATTACTGTGTAGCCAGGTATCACCTATTTTATGCCAGTGCATTTGGTTTTTCTTTCCTAAATGTAGAACATTTCTCACTGTTAATTTCATTTTGTTAGATGGGGCCCAATCTGTCGATCTTTCTATATCTCGAGTTTATCTTCTGGAGTGTTGGTATTGTCAATTTGATCTTGTCTGCAAATTTGATGAGTTCCCCTTCTATCCTCTTGTCTAAATCAATGATGAAGATGAACAGATCTTGTGAATCCTCCTGTTCTTTTTTCCATGTCCAGGAGGGTCTTGTGTCCTTTGAGGAGGTGGCTGTGTATTTCTCGGAGGAGGAATGGTCTCAGCTGGATCCTGACCAGAAAGCGCTGCATTCGGAAGTCATGCTTGAAAACCATAGGAACGTGGTCTCTTTGGGTAAGAGTTTTCTAGTCCCCAATTAAGAAGAGAGATTCTAGTTAATTTTTTTATTAAAATACCACTGATCAGATATTGTCTCCTGGGAGGGAGAAGGAAAAGTGTTGTGTTGCTCCAAGGAAGGAAAAAGTCAATGTCTCTTTGCTTAGATGCTTTCTGTGCCATTTCTTATCAATATTTTTCCATTTCTATTTGAACTTATCTGAGGCTGAAAAGAACAAGGTGTGCTTTTATGTGTCTTCTGGAGGTCATGTGAGAGGAGTGTGTTGTCATTTCTCCTTTGAAATCTGCCCAAATTGTGTGAGAACAGAACTTTCATGCTCAGGCCATGGAAGATCACTCTCCCAATCCAATTCAAGAATAAAGGCCTCATGCAGTGTGATTCAGAGCATCCTAGGGTGCAAGTAATCCTCAAGTTACCACAGTTCACTTAGAGTATGTTCCAAGTTACAATCATTTCTCACCCAAGTATTGAAACCCACTCCCAAAATTTATGAGTGTTGCAGCTCCACGGTCATCATTCACACTTTTGAATGACAGTAGAGGCGCTGAAATATTCACCCTACCTATTCCCCCACCCCATCTCGCAGGGACTTACCATATTTTTCACACTATAAGATACACTTTTCCCCTCCCCAAAAGTGGGTGGAAATGTCTATGTATCTTATAGAGTGAATTCGGGCCTGGTTTTGGCCTTCCAAACCCTCAGCGCATGCCGTTATTGCCCTCCTTGGCATCCAGAAGCACTCTGCAGGGCCCGCTTTTGGTCTCCAGAGGCCTCCACGTGTCCAATTTTTGCTCTCCCCGGCGTCAGGGAGGCTTGAGGACGGGACACACAGAGGGTTTGGGAGGCCAAATATGGGCCCGTTTTTGGCATGGAGAGTGCTTCTGGACGCCGGGGAGGGAAAAAATGAGACATGCGGAGGCCATTTTCTTGTTTTGCTTCTCTAAAGCTAGGTTCGTCTTATAGTCTGAAAAATATGGTACATTGCGACGATGTGGCAAGCCATTGGTTCCCTTGCCTACTTCATGCCTTTGCAGAAAAAAGAGTAGTGAGAGATACGCGTGATCAGTAATGGAAAATCTAGCACTTATTGATCTCACATGATCTCGCACTACAGTGCTTTAGGCCTCTGTTCACTGCTAAACAAGGCCTACAGCAGATCCAGGGCAAAGGAGAGGAAAGGCCTCTTTGTTTTCAAAGACTTTTGCCCTGGATCAGGTCTTGAAAGAACACAAGCCTAAAATACTGCAGTGCCCCAATAAATCTGAAGTTTTCTCCTGATTCCTCTGTGGATATTTCCCCTGATTATTATGAAATTCAATGGTGAAAATAAAAGGTTCTACATTTAGGCAAAAAAGAAATGCACAGGTACAGTATACGTGGCACCTTGCTCAATAGTAATAACTGTAAGAGGGATCTTGGAGTCCTAGTGGACAACCATGTAAATATCAGCCAGTCATGTACAGCAGCTGCCAAAAAAGTCGACACATTTCTATGCTGCATAAACAGAGGGATAGAAGAATCAAAATCACGTGAAGCATTAATATCTCTTGATAATACCTTAGTAAGGTCACACTTGGAATACTGCAGCCAGGTTTGGTCACCACGATTGTAAAAAAGATGTTGATACTCTAGAAAGAGTGCAGAGAAGAGCAACAAAGATGATTAGGGGACTAGAGACTAAAACCTATAAAGAATGGTTGCTGGAATTGGGTATGTCTAGTTTAATGAAAAGAAGGACTGGGGAGACATGATCGCAGTTTTCCATTATCTCAGGGGCTGCCACAAAGAAGGGGGAATCAAGCTATTCTATTCCTTAACTCAAAACTGACTCCGAGTGAGATTTTCATATAGAAAGATATGTTTTCTAGATATTTTAAAAGCTTTCATGACATGAATATAGAAATCAACATGTCTATATCACATCAGTATAGGCTTGCAAACATACTACCTAATGGAATTTTGGAGAAATTCATAAGAAAATTCACTTGATTTTCTACACTTTGATCTTTTTCTCTAACCTCATTGTCATTTTCATTTCCCTTTTGCTTTGAAGGTAATAATGGGCTGGAAAATCAAGATTCCTGTGAACTGTTCCAAGTGATCAATGCTAAAGGTGGAACTGAGAAGTCTGGAATTCAAATGGAATTTGAAAGCCATGAGAGAAACCAGTCAAAGAATTGGAATCAGGAAAGCTCATCTTCTAGTGAGGCTCCAACTCATGACTTTCTTGCCCAACAAAAGGAAATAAGGAAAGAATATAATGGGAAAAGTGTGAACCTATTCAAAGGTAAAGTACAAGTAAATGAAAACTATTTAACCCAACACAAAAGAGAAGATGCTATAAGAAGACAAAACGGACAAAATTACAATGGGACATTCATTCTTTCTCTTGGGAATAACTTCCTTACATCTCAAAAAACGATTGACGCAAAAGAGAGGACTTATAAATGTTTGGAATGTGGAAAATGTTTTAGAAGAAGCTCGCAGCTTGCTATCCATAAAAGGATCCATTTGGGTGTGAAACCCTATAAATGCATGGAGTGTGGAAAGACCTTTGCTCAAAAACATCATCTTATTTCCCATGAGATGATCCACACAGGAGAGAAGCCATTTAAATGCACAGAGTGTGGAAAGTCCTTTGCTCAAAGTGGTCATCTTATTTCCCATAAGATCATCCACACGGTGGAGAAGCCGTATATATGCATGGAGTGTGGAAAGACCTTTGCGTGGAGCAGGAGCCTTAGAAGCCACAAAATGATCCACACGGGGAAGAAGCCATATAAATGCATGGAGTGTGGAAAGACTTTTACTTATAGCAGTGGACTTAGCAGACACAAAAAGCTCCACACAGGAGAAAAGCCTCCTTTGCTTGTAGATATAAACTTATTTCCCATAAGATGATCCACACGAAAGAAGCCATATAAATGTATGGAATTTGCTCATAGATGAAATGTTATCTCCCACTAGAAGTTAGGTGAAGGAATATTATTGTTATGTAGGAATTAAATACAAAGAGGTCTGACAATTAGGAATATGTTGATATAGTTAACAGTAGTATAAATAAGCTAACACAAGGAATGAGTTAAAATTATTTTGTTACATTATCATTTTTGTTACTAGTATTGTTCTGTATCCTGTACAGATGCAGATAGATAAAACTCCACAAAATATAACAAAATCACTTTTATTGGTGCATCAGGTATCCTCATAACTCACATATCTGATGAAGTTCTTCTTTAATGACCGATCCTTTGTATATCTGCCTTGTAGGTAAAAAGATGATTTATTTTCTATCCTTTTTCCGTCATGTTGTAGCAATAGAAGTAGTCCATGAGTTCAGCCAAGAGTGAGGAAAATCTCCCCCAACTTCTCGAGGGTCAATTTAGTGACCACTCAGGATTACAGATATGGTCACGTGACATGGACTACATTTCCCAGGCTACCTTAAGTACATTTACCATGATGCATTTCCTTAAGGGGACAGCTCACAATTGCTAACTATCCAATTCCCATACACTGGCTGGACAGCACAAGTTTATACATAATATTGATATTTGTTTTTTCTTTTTCATAAATAATATTCCCTGGCAATATACTGTATTCAAAATGTTTATGAATAAAAATAAAGCATATACTCAAATAAAAAAAAATGCATGGAATGTGGTAAGAGTTTTGCTCAGAATGGTCATCTTCTCAGAAAAGAATCCACGCTCAGGACAAACTACAACTGCTCAAAAAAATAAAGGGAACACAAAAATAAGACATCCTAGATCTGAATGAATGAAATATTCTTATTACTTTGTTCATTACATAGTTGAATGTGCTGACAACAAAATCACACAAAAATTATCAATGGAAATCAAATGTACCAACCCATGGAGGTCTGGATTTGAAGTTACACTCAAAATTAAAGTGAAAAAAAAAAACCCACTAGAGGCTGATCCAACTTTGATGTAGTGTCCTTAAAACAAGTCAAAATGAGGCTCAGTAGTGTGTGTGGCCTCCACGTGCCTGTATGACCTCCCTACAACACCCGGGCATGCTCCTGATCAGGTGGCAGATGGTCTCCTGAGGGATCTCCTCCCACACCTGGACTAAAGCATCCCCCAACTCCTGGACAGTCTGGTGCAACATCGCGTTGGTGGATGGAGCGAGACATGATGTCCCAGATGTGCTCAATTGGATTCAGGTCTGGGGAACGGGCGGGCCAGTCCATAGCATCCATGCCTTCATCTTGCAGGAACTGCTGACACACTCAGCCACTTGAGGTCTAGCATTGTCTTGCATTAGGAGGAACCCAGGGCCAACTGCACCAGCATATGGTCTCACAACGGGCCTGAGGATCTCCGTATCTAATGGAAGAGGCTACCTCTGGTGAGCACATGGAGGGCTGTGCGGCCCCCTAAAGAAATGCCCCCTCATACCATTACTGACCTACTGCCAAACCGGTCATGCTGGAGGATGTTGCAGGCAGCAGAATGGTCTCCACGGCGTCTCCAGACCCTGTCACATCTGTCACATGTGCTCAGTGTGAACCTGCTTTCATCTGTGAAGAGCACAGGGTGCCAGTGGCGAATTTGCCAATCTTGATGTTCTCTGGCAAACGCCAAATGTCCTGCACAGTGTTGGGTTGTAAGCACAACCCTCACCTGTGGACGTCGGGCCCTCATACCACCCTCATGGAGTCTGTTTCTGACCGTTTGAGCAGCCACATGCACATTTGTGGCCTTCTGGAGGTCATTTTGCAGGGCTCTGGCAGTGCTCCTCCTGTCCCTCCTTGCACAAAGGCAGAGGTAGCGGTCCTGATGCTGGGTTGTTGCCCTCCTACGGCCTCCTCCACATCGCCTGTCTCCTGGTAGCGCCTCCATACTCTGGACACTACGCTGGCAGACACAGCAAACCTTCTTGCCACAGCTCGCATTGATGTGCCATCCTGGATGAGCTGCACTACCTGAGCCACTTGTGTGGGTTGTAGACTCTGCCTCATGCTACCACTAGAGTGAAAGCACCACCAGCATTCAAAAGTGACCAAGCCATCAGCCAGAAAGCATAGGAACTGAGAAGTGGTCTGTGGTCACCACCTGCAGAACCGCTCCTTTATTGGGGATGTCTTGCTAACTGCCTATGCTTTCCACCTGTTGTCTATTCCATTTGCACAACAGCATGTGAAATGGATTGTCAATCAGTGTTGCTACCTAAGTGGACAGTTTGATTTCACAGAAGTGTGATTGATTTGGAGTTACATTGTGTTGTTTAAGTGTTTCCTTTATTTTATTTGAGCAGTGTATATAGCAATAGCAATTCCACTTAGACTTATGTACCACTTCACAACGCTTTACCACACTCTCTGAGCAGTTTACAAAGTCAGTTTATTGTCCCCCAGCAATCTGAAAAAAGTATATAGATTCTTAGACAGCTTGAGAGGGTGGCCAGATAGCAGATTAACAGAGTTGGGCGGGATCCTGGAGGTCATTTAATCCAACCTATGTCAGAGTTCTCCGAGGAAAGGAGCAGGAAGCGCAGGAGAAACGGTCCAAAATTTACCCCGGGATTTTCATCAGGGGCCCCTTTGCGAGGAAAAGGGGGGGGGGTCTTCCTGACCCATAGAAGGAAAGGGGGGGTTGGAGGGGGGGAGACTAGAAGGAGCCGGTACATCCAGACGTTCCGTTCCGAGTTCCGAGCAAGGGAGACGCGTTTCTCCCAAAGGGCCAATGGGGCTATTTAACCTGAAGGAGGAGATTTTGGGAGGAATTGCAGCCCCTCTTTTATAACTTCACTTCTCCCTGGTGGCTCTTTCCTTTCGCGGCACAACTCGGGAACGATGGGAGGGTAAAGTAGGAGCCTCTGGAGGGCCATCACATCTTTCTTCCTTCCCTCCCTCCCTTCCTCCCTCCTTCCTTCCTTCCTTACCTCCCTTCCTTCCCTTCTGTGATTTCACCTTCCTTCCTTCCTTCCTTCCTTCCTTCCTTCCTTCCTTCCTTCCT